CATAATAGCTCGGTCGGTAATCGGGCGGCTCCAAAACAGAAGGCCGTGGTTCGCGTCACCATCATTTACACATTTATTTTTTTACTTTTTTTGGAATCCAGAGCATTCTTTATTTTTAATTTTTTATCGATTTCTTTTTTTTGTTATTTTTTCCCCTTTTTTTAAAAGTTCTTTCTTTTGAGAAAAACATCAGTTTATATTTTCTTATTATTAAGTCGGTAATATCGAAAAATATTATGCATATTTCATTACTCAGTAATTTGTATCTAAATGTAATTTCCAAAATACACGATTTACCAAAAAAAATAAACAAACCGAGCAAAGCTCGGTCCTCCGGGTACTAATAATTAACTCCGCAATACATAAAATAATGTAATACCGAAATAATGCAAACGATACATATATTTTAACTTTTAAGGGTTATGGTAAGGATACACTGTAAGAATTTTTATTTATTTTGTTTTAAAAATCAACAGAAAAAAGTAAGGAAAATACTTAAAAATGGCCAGTAAGAATAACAATCAAAAACGCGGCTCTTGTTGGCCGAGAAAGGAATAAGAAGGAAGAAAATATTAAGAAGCGATAAAAATCTTTTAGGCTATTTATAAGAATTTTTGAACTCAAAGGCAGTTGCGGATATGATCAACGGTTTTCTGATTATATATTAGCACATGAAACTTGTAATCATGCAGAGAACGGCGTGGTTAAAACACGTTACGGAAGTAAATAAAATAATCAAGCCTTACTGAATGTATACATTACTTGTATTGGCCAATATATGGATAAAACTATTTTGGGATTAAAATAGCTTGGACAATGCAAGCATGCCTTAACGCTGAATTAAGTAAATCGAATAGAAAACATAATTATAAAATTGATACTCACAATTTGCAGGATTTGTCATCGTTTTACAAGGTACTTGATTTGTGACTCTGATAATTCAATTATGACTTCTGTACTACTGAGCAGAAACAAATATTAGATGCGAGTTTAATATATAGGAGTTTCTGTTGTTGCTAAAAAACAGTAAATACATGTGAGATTTTCGTGCCGTGAAGACATCGGATGATAAGCTCGGTTGGCTGGAATTTCTGGGCGCTTTACCCAAAATGCGGTGGTTCGAATCCTGGCTGCGCTGAAGATTTACGTCAATTTAGCTTTAGTTTTTCCTTGAGTGCAGACTAGCATTAAAAGTAATAAAAAACAGCATGATTATCAACTTTCTGCTAGGAATATATTTATTATACATATTGTTTTTTTATTTCTGATATCTATCTCGTATTGCCTGTTTTGGTTCCGCGTTTTTGTTTTTCTCCTTTTTTCTGAACGAATAATGAGTTCACCTGTTACTGTATCTTACATTGTCGACATTGTCACGTTTGCAGGATGAAAATAGCATGCATATTTTCTTTATTTTTATATGATGTATATATAGATCCTGCTCGATCCATTTTTTACTATTATATCGAGATTTTCCGTCTCTACCCAAGATCAAGGACTACTTCCATGCAACCAATTATTGTTGTCAATACTTTAATTACAATAAATTTATTTGTCTTGAATGCCTCCAGTTCTAAGGGCTGATGAATATTAATGTTTGATAAAGTATTTACTCACAGTGACCACGAATTAATATGGAGTAACGGATATGGAGTAATATTAAGATAGTGAAACAACAAGATAATAAATTGGCGGATATTTAATTTTCTTCTTTTTTGTCTTACGAAATCGACTATCCTCTTACGATTCCTCTTAACGTATATATTTATGTTTAATAAATTTATAAATTCCAGTTCGACGTTACCTTAGAAGGAAATTCTTCTTATATTGAATCGTACATAAAGATCGCATCATCAGTCATGACCAATGAAGTATAATTGACGCGTGCCCAAATAATTAACAGCAATGCTAATCAGTGCTACTTAGACAAATATAAATAACATAGTCATAGCTTGTGCAGCCTATCTGACGGTTATATATTTAATCACTTCGTGACTTTTTTTTTCTAAAAAAAAAAAGTCTTGACCACTTTTGATATGCCATGTTAATTATTTTGGGTTAATTTTCTGGAAGTGGGCTTACGTGTATTTAAGTCCAAAAATGTGTTGATAAATATCACGTTGTTTTTATTTTACCTACGTTATATCTAGGCTATCACCGTGATAATATTCATTATTCCATACTATCGATTATTTAATATCAAACATAATCGTGTACACGCGCCTATAAAAATGATAAATTTCTGCAGCATAGTCCGTTTATCAAATATCACTAGAATTTATTTACAGTCTGAAGTTCGAAAGATAAAAAATATTTGTTACATAAATACATTATACATCCGTAGAAATTTTGTATATAACGTGTACTTAGGTATATACATTATATGCTTTAAGGTATTTGTTGCATGGTTCCAATTTAATCAGTACCAGGGCCACATAAGCCTATGAAGATAATGCATTAACTGCTGTTAAGGCCTTCTGATACGCTGTCACCTCTGATCGCGTCACAGATTCCTACGCACGCGGTGTTTCTCACGATTGTTACGTAGGCGTCTCGCTTGGAAGTTTTCCAACGTCCCACCTCGTTACGAGACGTAAGACCGTGAAGCTGCTCGACCGATTGACGGATGCACTGTACTGTTTTACTCACGCATTAGTTCTGTATACCACTAAATTTGGCACCATTATATGTGAAAATTAAATGGCAATCATAATTTTTTTATGTTTCGTAATTGCTTTGCGTATTATTTTATATATGTTTAATAAGATTACTCGAGTTCGTAGCTTCTGCTAAAGATTGGATATAGAATGTAAAAAATTTAATAAAATATTACTCATGAAATAAAAAAATAAATTGAATAGTATCTTTAAAAAAAAGTTGGTAAAGAATTGAAAGTCCCTTTTACTCGTTCGTTTAGTTATAGGTTCATGTTACCTGTTACTATTATATAATCATATTAAATTTTTTGTTATGTATAAATTTTACCTCATTTATCAGATTTTTCTTCTTATATACTACATACTTTTCCTTGTTTGCAAATTAATTACATGCTGCAAAAAAGACCCATTGGTTTTATATACGCACGGATTCTTTGGATTCTTTTGAGTTTAACTCTTTTGAACTTAAGAGTTTGAAGTCATACTGTGAATCCAATCAAACCAAACTTGAATAGCTTATTTATGAATAAAAAAAAGCATTATTCGAAGAACAGGCATTCGGTTAAACGCATTTGAGACCGGTTTACTTTTCCGCGTACTCCGCCATGTGCCAAAGAAAAAAACACTGAAAATAATATATTAATTCCGGATCTTAATGTTAAAAAGCTTATTTTTACAATATCATGTTGATGTTTTGATAAAAATATCGAATTTAAAAAAAAATGAAAACAAAACTGTTCTCTATAATTTTACTTAGTTCGTCAATATCGTACTATGTATGCGTTTTTTGCCAATATAATTGAAAAAAATGATTGGAATGAATGATATTAATGAAATTTCTCTTACATTAATGTATTGTTTTTTGCCTTGGTATTTTGCCTATGATTAAATTGACCGTTTTTTCTTTGGTATCGGGGGGGAAATCTTCAAAAGATACCCTGTCACGTTACATGACAGGGTTATGTGAGGTTCATACCCACTAAATCCCCCTCGGTGGCCACCCTCTGTACGTTTTGAGGAACTCCGGGATCTCCCACGGAACGCACCGGTGTCCCTCAGTACTGCACGTGAGCACTCCCCGGAGAAGGATAGCTTCCCCGGTTCCCTCACCATCTTGCAGCAGCTCGAGACCATTTCGAGCTGCTGCCAATCCAACAGACAGTAAAATGTTAATAGGGTTGGTTTTGCAAATCAGTATTTTTTTTTTTAAAACATTGTAAACATTCGTCAATATAACGTAAGTTGAAGACGTAATTGACTGAAGCAAAACTACAAGATGTATTAAAATATAAAAATAGAATCGAATGATATTTATGTAATCACACAAAAACTACACTTAATGCAACTTGCTGACACTTGTGACAGATGTCGGAGTTTTTGCAGAACCTGCATCAGAGTAATCTGCATCAAACCGTTATTATTATCTTCTATTATATTCTTATCTTTTTACAGTATGTCATGTTTTAACTAATTTTGAAACTAGCTATATACGTTATATAAACCGATACATTGTACAAAATCATACTTTAAAACATTTTATAATCTAAACTTCCGATTGTCAAACATACCGATCTTTTTATCACTGTTTATTCCTTATAAATAATTTTGTCTTAATGCGTAGACACACCTCTTTTGTTCACAGCATAGATGATTAGAACTATGCAAACGTTACATAATGAATGATAACAATAATGTGACTAACCTCTACAATCACCTTTGCGTGGTCACGAGACTCGTTGCGTGCAGTTGCCAAAATATGTCGTCTGGCAGTTGAGCGGTATAATAGCTTTATTGCATAACGATTTATTTAAGTTCAAGAATCCATTCGTATCGACGGCCGTGGCCGTCGCATAGCCACGTCGTCTATATGTTATAAGAAAATTTGGCTGATGGTTCTGCATTTGATATTACCGTAAACAAAATCTTTAGTTATATGTATAAATGGACTAGCGGACCGGGTTGACGTTGTCTTGTACACACGACTTAAATCAGACAACTTATAATTAAAAAAAAAAATGTGAATATAAAACATTCTCGAATCGACCAGAAGACACAAAAAATTTCATTAAAATCGGTCCAGCCGTTTAGGTGGAGTTCAAAGACATACACACTTACAGAAGAATTACAGATATAAAGTTACTACACTACGGAGTTATACAGTAATTGTACTACAAAAGATAGAACGGCATCATAATCTATAATATTTTAATTGCAAATTAGAATTGCAAATGTACGAACTAAACAATACCGGAAAACTTCACGGATAACGTGAAACGTCGATCATGATCGTTTGATATAGTCAATGTTTAATAGTTTGATATAAACAATAAAATGTTGTTGCAGACCTTGCCATCACAACGGGTGACCAGATCGAACTGTACAGTAACCAGACAAAGACCAGCAATGAGGGCGTCAGGTTTCGGGATCTCACGGCATTGGCGTACGACGCCGTTCACGACATGCTGCTCTTCGTAGACAGGCAGAACGACAACGCTTCCATATTCAGCTACCATTTGGCAACGAAGAAGTACCAGCCGTTGGTCAGGCGGAGGTCTTACGAGAACATCCAAGGGCTGGCCTTCGACCCGGTCACGAGCAAGCTCTTCTGGACTGACACGAACGAGAAGAGTATATTTTGGATCTCACTTAAACCCGGCTCTAAGAATGACATTTACGGTAACCTGTTAATCAAAATGGACGACGAGGTACCCCGAGCGATAGCTGTCGACAGCTGTAGAGGGTGAGTGACATAGTTATCGTAGTGTTTCTGTAGATAATACAAATTATATTTCAGAGATCGTTACAATTATGACGACCCGAATGGCGTAGTCGGTAGTGTACCTACCTTCTGCGCCAGAGGGTGTGGGTTCGATCCCCACTACTGGAAAAATATTGTGTGATGAGCATAGTGTTTTTCTAGTGTCTGGGTGTTTTTATATGTATAATGTGTATTTATTTACAAAAGAAAAGTATGGTTAAGTATGTCTAACAGTTTTCTAGTACCCATAGTACAAGCATTGCTTAGTTTGGGACTAGAGAACGTTGTGTAAAAAGAATGTGTCCTAAAATATTTATTTATTTATTTAATTATAGGACAGGATGTTTGTGGGAAAACTGGGAGCGGTTAATGGTTATCATATTAAACGCTTCAATCAAGTCTAGATATAAAATGTATTCTAAAAGGCAAAATTTACAGGTACATCTACTGGACGAACACAAATATAACAAAGCCTACAATAGAGAGGGCACGCTTAGATGGTTCAGACAGAACGGTCATCGTCAGCACAGACATTTACATGTTGGTGAGCCTAACAATTGATCAGAACACGAAGAGGCTGTACTGGGCGGACGACAAAGAGGGCATCCACTACTCCATAGAGAGCTCCGACCTAGATGGGGGGAACAGGAGGAAGCTGCTCGCCGGGACGAACCACATGCCCAATGCGATAACCGTCTCTAGCGACTCTGTCTACTGGGTCGACCTGGGCTACCGTTCCGTGTGGCGGCTGCCCAAGGACCCGCCCGCCGGCGCGGAGCCCGTGGACATCATCAACTTCTCCAAAGAGCTGTTCGGCATCGTGGCCAACTACAAAATCGACGAGCAGACCGCCGGCGTGCCGGAGTGCGCGCAGCTGTCGAGTATGGCGCAAAACAAAGGGGCCATCAACGACTCGTTCAACATCCCACGGGACCTAGGTCTGTTCTGCTTGCACGGCGTGAAGGTGGACGGGAAGCCGGGCTGCAACTGTTCCCCCGGATACGTGGGCGAGCGCTGCGAAGTCTCCGTCTGCCACAACTTCTGCCTGAACGGCGACTGCACCTCGACAGACGGCCAACCGACTTGCAAGTGAGTACGCGCGATACATTGTATGCTGTTAACGTCTTTACGTTCATTAGTCAGCTTCTATTTTTAGTGTTTCAGATTGTATTCAGATCATTTGCAAATCTAAATTATGTCGGGTCCGTTATATTTATTATATGTATACTAATAATGATGGTAACGAAATATTTTCACTAAATTCTCTAACCGTAGTTCAATTTTTAGCTGTTATATGTTTATGTAGACCTAATAATTAACCGACTTAGTGACCGGAATCCTCATGGATTGTTGATGAATGTGAATTTGACTGCTGGGCTTGTGTGGAGTATAACTTAACTTTATTATTTTAAGTATACCGTTGCCAAGGCTCATAGACGATCGAAGATCTAGCAACGCACTGAGGGTTTATCGGATCCGTCTTAACTAACCAGCATTTACAGTCCACAGGATCCATTACCGAACATCTCACCGACACGGAATAAAGGCCCCAATGAAATAGCTATCGTTCGTTATTCACAGATGCAAAGCCGGCTTCTCCGGTGCGCGGTGCGAAATTAGCGCCTGCGAGGGCCACTGTCTGAATTACGGCGTTTGCTCAATCGGTGCCGACAAGAGACCCACATGCAAATGTGCGGCCGAATACGAAGGCGGCAGATGCGAGGTCACCAAGGCTGTGGAGGTCACAACAACCACTTTAGCTCCCCAGCAATGCAAGTATGTTATCAATATAGATCTTATAGGCTAGGTTAGTAAGTCCAAAAGAACACTGCGAGTGTTCTTTTGGACTTACTAACCAACCCCTTTCACACACAAATCATATATCTATACAATAATTTATAAATCTGGGCGTATACACATAGTTTTCTACTCCCACACTAAGCAGCTCATAATTCTGGTGCTAAATATGTACTTATTATCAATGATATTATATACAAAGACGAGGTAAACACTAACGCACCGTAACTGACGAACTCAAATTATACTAATTGTTGTAATTAGATTTTAATTCTATAAACTACTACCTCTTTCCGTAAAGTACGTTCAATATCATCTGTCACATTCAGTTATTTTTAGACGACGCGCAGTATGAACATGCTTCATCTTTATTAAAACATCATTGCTTATTATCCCTTACTATTTATTACAGTATTGGGAATCTAACCCACACTCTCTGGGGATAAAAACGGGTTCACTAACCAATACGTTGATCGGGTGATTAACCATATTACAAATTTGATGATTGTTAAATAAAGCTCTACGAAGTTTCACAGTGTCTATAATGCTTTTAAATTTCTCTTTTCGAATGTTCGAAAACTGAATTTAAAAGCGATTGTAATAAAACCGTTTAAAAACTTTTAAGTTAAACGGTTTTATTTTATGTTTTTTTTTGTGCACTGAAAACTACAATATTGTATTGTCATCTAAATTAAATGTGTGTACCAAATTTCAGACCAATCTGACAACGGGAAGGTGCTTAAATTTCAATTTCTAATTTTGACCCAAATAAATAAACAAATTCCGTACGTGTCGACCTAAATAAAACCGTTTAATAAAATAAAGACAGCTGAAAGTTTTGTGCAAAGTTGATTTAAAACCGATAATTCGAAAAACATTTTAATTTAACTTTATCGTTGTGTAGCATTCCCGTTAAAAAAATATATAACATGGTAAATACTTAATATGTTAGATTGCAACAGAAATACAATATACCTACCATTTTCTGATTATTATTTTCTGTTTCGTTTATTTATATGTCACTTTCCTTATAGAATCGCCACAGAATAAAAACTGGCAGCTTTTCAACGAGTAAATAAATTAAGCTTGGTCATAAATCTAAACGACAATAAAATGATCTATGACTTCTCTGGGGAACGTTTATATAAACTGATTTATTTTCTGTTTTAAATGGAATTTGCATTAAGGCCATATTATATTATAGGCTTTATTTAGCAACCAGAGCAAAAGTGCATCGCACAATGTGCACACATTTCATCTCGAGACATCCATTTGTCTTTTTAATCGACACAATAGTGTTAATTATTGAGTAATAGTATTTAGATAGCAACTAAGTACTATATTTGTTTATTTATCCATTACAATTTATGAGTTCAGTTTTGTTAACTTACCACACTTTGGCCTTATTTTTTATTATACACATATTTGTTTACGCACCGATTTATCATAGAATAGGTAAATACAACACTGAACACTGTGTTGTTTTTACGGTGTCATTTGTGTTGTCAACACAGTAATTAAGATATTATGCAAATTATTCCCTATTCTTAAGGTGAAACAATTTACAACCCATATCTTGTATTATTTATATAATAAATTTATAAATTATATCATTTATATCCTCATTGCAAGCAATTTGTTATGGTGAGAAAAATAATTTCGTTTTGTTTTTATTCTATAACGATTACACATATCCCCCATTCTCTTTTGGCGTTGTTGCCTCAGGTCTTATTGCTTAATATTTCCCTGTAATTTTAAGGAATTTTCTAGAAAAGTTATTCTACGTAATAATAACTGCCTCCATCTCTTTTAGCTGCACCAAAGAGGAGAACAGGAGTGTACTAGATGATTCACAACGACCCGAAGCGGCTTCCAATGACTTTATGTCTGGCTGTGACGGATGGGACCCAATAAGGGACCCCATTATCATGGCTCTGGGCATCATAGCCGGCCTCCTGGCAGTGGCCTGCGCGATCCTAGTCACCAAGGTTCTACGTTTGAGGCGACGGCCCAGGTTCGTAGACCATTTGAAAGCCTCCACGCATTCGGTCCTAAGCAACACGCCCGTATCCAGTGATATCACAGACGTCGCTCTTTTACACCAGGGCGGATTCGATGACATCTACGCTACGCTTTTAAGTCGAATAATGACTGGTGATGTGATTGTCGCCACAAAGATAACTTTGATTTTTTCTCGACACGGATGCGTTTTTTTTTTCGCTTAGGGATTAAAGATAAACTATACAAATTGAAATAATTCTATTGTTTAGTGAACGGAGGAAAAAATGTCAATTGATTATTTTTATATGCTATAAATAAGAAATTAACATAAAGAATCCATGAACGCCAGATCAGATCTGATCTGATGCTATGATCCAAAAATGTTTAGACTTGTTTGTTGTACTTATGTACGTCTGTTACAGTTATTGTTTTAATAACGAACGATTGTTTATTGAAGCTTGTTTATAAAGGCAAGCATGTGAGTGGCATTGTCAGTAAAAACTGACAGCTTTCTATGACACGTTCTGTTTTGATACTAATGTTTTATTGTTGTTTTTTTTGTGAGTTGAGTAATACTTTAATGAAACATTTTTTTAAACATATTTCGTTGGTTCGTAGAATGAGTCGCGTTTGGAACCGGTAAGTCAAATTCAATTAAAAAAAATAGAAATAAAACGTAGATTCCAAATAAGTAAAATTTACCTAACTGACCAACTAGTCAAGATCAAAATCAACACGGATTAGTGTTGATTTAAACTCGTAACTTTGAATTTTAATTAATATGTTCGTTGATATCGTATCAAAATTAACAAGTGCGAGTCGGACTCACACACAATCGGTTCCGTACCATTATCTATAAAAAGGGCAAAAAAAAAAATCATCAACACAGTTTTATCGGAACCCCACTTAAATATTCTTTATTCTGTTAGTATTTGTTGTTATAGCGGCAACAGAAATACATGATCTGTGAAAACTTCAACTGTTTAACTATCACGGTTCATGAGACACGGTCTGGTGACAGACGGACAGACAGACAGCGTAGTCTTAGTAACAGGGTCCTGTTTTACCCTTTGGGTACTGAACTCTAAAAAGTGATATTTGCCTCGACTCGTGATTTAAATTTCCGCATTTCGTCTAACAATTAAAATGAGAAGGAAAAATTTTCATAATGTGATTTTCGGCCATTTTTATTTTTTATTGTTTTTATAATTCAGTACCCCATTTTCCCATCCTCATAGTATACATTAATCTATGTCATTTCTAAATAGACATGTTAATTTAAACTATGAATGTAAATATACTCGATTCCGCACTAGGTGAGAAGATAAATTCGTGACGGAACTGAACTAAAGTTACAAGTAGCAATGATTTTGTGTGTGTAAAAGTCCACATAAGTTAAAGACTCTGTCAATTTAATTACAAAAGGTAAAAATATTTCAAATGTCGTCGTATCTTAACATACGTGCGTTGTGCCTCTTGCAGAATAAAGAAACGCATCATCGTGAACAAGAACGTGACCCCTTTAACCGCGAGGCCCGACCAGTGCGAAATCACCATAGAGAACTGCTGTAACATGAATATATGCGAGACGGTGAGTATCTTTTGCTTTTTTTTTATATTTTTGCGGTGGTAGGGCCACGCGACAGTGTTCGCTGTTGCACGAATGGGCAGGTCCGTCCGGGTTAGTACCACGACCTCACAGAAGACCGGCGTACAGTAGAAGTGCACTTCTGCGTTTCGTCTGATGAGTGAGGTAGCTGGGGCCCACAATATTAAGAGGTGTCGACGCATTTGCAACCCTACGTATGTTGCAAATGTAGTTTACACTAAGAGAATTACTTAATAACACCTCCTAAGTACTCTTTTTTGCTCTTTTTAATTTCACAATATTTTCTACTAAGCCATTTTTTTTATTTATTAACACTTCATAAGTATCCAACGTCTACTACTCCTACCAACTAAAGTTACCACGAGCTAAGCTAAGAAGTGGATTTGTAGCATCATGGTATGGCCGTCAATATTGGCCGGTTCGAAAATCAAAACGCGAAAATATTGTTGAAGTTAGGTTTACTTTTTTGGCGCGTTGGAAGAAAATTCAAAATGATTAGTGTAAAATTTTTATGATGCGCGCGTTTCACAACTAAGAGTACTGACACGAGGTATAAAATTGTCATTTATTTTTCTTTTGTTACGCTAAAGAAGTATAACTTCTTACGCGCTTACTTAAGTACAAAGATATATTTTTTAATTATGAGTGTGGATGATGGTCATTTTTTTAAATTTAATTTAAGAAAGCTTGCGCGAAACTGAGAAAAATTTTAATTTGTTAGATTTGATCGCTTCGTCTATGAATCATTAATTCTTAATTAAAAAAATCTACTATTTCAAAGCATTAAGTAACTCATTTACTTGAAAGGAAAAAAATGCTAATCGTATTTAATAAAAGTGTATTTTTCTTCATATTCTGATTAGTAATCGTTTATCTCTTATTCCAATTAAAGTAATTGTTCAAACTATTTTGAATTTAAAATACAATTCAATTGTAATCAAACAGAAAAGTGTGTGTAGTAAGTTAATTAATAAAATAGTTTCACCGCGACTTTGAATTCAATGTAAAACGGAACAGTTGCGTTCGCCATGGATGGCTCTGAAGGCTCAGCGATGAATGAGGGGTTGCCTAAGTCAATGAATAATAGGGAGGACAAGGTTAGATTTAATCTGTGGCACGTAACTATTCGTGGTTGGGGTCGACTGCAAACTGTCCCAGCGCGAACAGACTATCGTTGACGTAAAAAAAAACTCTATGGCCTAGAATCGACACAATGGAGGCGAAAGGGGAGCACCGTGTCAAGTGCGCCTTCGGAAAGAAGTCATTGCATTCGCGAACACAAATCGAATCTCTGACCTTAAATCTGAGGAAGAAACTACATTGAATCACCATTAAATGTCGACTTTCCAAATTTTTCGAATGTTTTTTTTAACATGAAAATTTGGCAAGCGAGTAAACGGTCCACCTGATTTAAAGTGATTGCCGCCACCAATGGGGTTACACAAAACAACACCTGAGGGGTTGCAGGCATTGTGAAACATTCAAAAGTGTTCCCCGATTACCTTACTCGAACGCGAAATTGTAATACGTTCTAATAGTCCGCCCGTTGGTAGAAGAGCATCTGCTATTTGGCCATATCACAGTACAGATTTCCTTTTAATTTGTCCGTCTTTTCGTCCGACCAAGATGCGTTTTTTTATAGGCAAGGTAATAAACGCGCTTACTAAACATATCTAGTACAGCATACCTATAGGTTCATCAAAGTTATCAAACAGTAGCTAGCTTGTAATAAATAATTATGCAGATGGAGAAATATCGTCCTCATTTTCCGCAAATGTCACAGTCGCTATTAAATGTTAACACGGTACGAAAGCGTTTTTGTTGAACAAATTTATTTGACAAAATTTGAACACAGATAAGAGTAACTACGTCGCCCGAAGCTGTGGTCGCTTCATACGTTCACTATTAGCGTCTAATTAAGTGCATGCAAATTTATTATAAGTAGTTTGTATGCAGTTAAATCTTGAACTCTAACTTAAACCTTGACATTTATGACGATCAGTAAATGATTACTAAAGTAATAATATCCTCTTTATATATGTATGTTTAAACCATGCATGTTTAACAGCGAAGAACTTGATTAAATGTTTTTTAGACCAGCGATATTGACATTTCTATAAATAGATATTTGCTAGAAAAAAATCTTGTCATTTGAAAATATAAGGGATAATAGTTTCTGTGATTCTCACAGTGAATAATAGTTGATCCCAGTTTAAATAAGGCTCTTATAAGTTTTGGTCGTGGACGAAGTCTAAAAAATGGTAAACAACGAAACTAAACAGATATTTTAAAATTGTGGCTGTTGATTTTTTTTAAACATAACTAACTATTTTAGTTTTGCAATGATAATGCTTTTGGGTGTTACATTACTAGCAACCGCCTCGAATTTTCTTAAAGCATTTAAATTGGGACTTCGATATTTCTTTAACTGTTGCACAATGGGATGATCTTTGCTATGATTTAATACATCTCTTAACATTGAAATCTAATTAATTTTCCAACTTAACATACCAGCCCTCATTAAAAGAGGCAAGTTTTCATTATCCTCATTATTATGTTCAGTAGCTTTGTTATTTCTGAATGTGAAATTGTTTCCGCACAGGTTAGTAGGCTAGAGCGGGCGTTCGACGATGCCTGAATTTTGGTCCATGCATAAGGTTTACATATTTTTCACGTTAAGCTTGCATTACGCATAACGCCTACGTACTAACTTATTTTACGCTGCACTAACATTGCACATAAGCGTTGCATGAGCATGATTGTTTTTGCCCTGACGGCCACATTCAGATATGGCAATGACTTAACTCGCCAGACCGAGACCAACCTGATGACTGATGATACTTTATTCGACAAACATAGTAATAATAATAAATAGTTTAAGACACGTTTTAACACAACGTTAACTAGTCCCAAACTAAGCTACGCTTGCACTATAGGTAATAGCTAACTGATAAACATACTTAAACATACTTTTCTTATATGAGTAAATACATATTATACATAATTATATAAACACCCAAACACTACAAACGACTATGTTCATCACACAATATTTTTTCAGTAGTGGGGATCGAACCCACACCCTCTGGCGCAGGAGGCAGGTACACTACCCACTATGCCATTCGAGCCGTCATTTTCTTTTAAATAAAAATAATGCTGGTTAAGGGCTAATCCTATCTACAATCTTTAATGGGCTACCTACTGCCCCCAACGCCCCCTTTTGTATAATGGTCAACTATACCAATTTTATATACTTATTATTCGAACCTGCTACCACCCCACGAAAAGCACCAGCGCCCAATAGGGGGAGGAACCGTTGGGAACTATGGGCAAATAGACGTCTGCCAGTTTGGCAATATAGCAGATTCAACACCGACTAATGTAAACAGAGGGATTTCATTGGAAAATGAACACGGGTCATTTCATACGTTTTTACTTGTTCCAGCCTTGTTTCGAGCCGCGCAACAGCATTAGACCAACGTTGCTCGATTCCAAGCCCGGCAAAGAGGAGAAGAGGAACCTAATAGCAAACATGGAGAACCCGGACGACCCCTACTAATGTAACACTGAAGTTCCCACACGTACCGAGGTACGAACGTTTGGTATTTTGTCCAAAGTTAAACTATTGTGATATTTACTGTAAGATGAACGAAGACCGTTTAGGATTAATACAGTCCAGCACGTGTGACTGACGGTGGGGCGGAATTCGAGAGTTCACGGTTCGCGCCAACTGCCATTCGTGATACGTTTATGTGGAAATTGTATCCTACTTCGCGATAGAAATAAGGCTCTTTATGCACTCTCGTCCGGAACAATCCTTATTATCTGGTTTGATTGAACAAAAAATACTGTATATTAAATTGAAAAAAAAAAAGCAACATACTTGTTGATTCAGTATCATCGAAAGTATGTTCAATACGTGTTATTTAAACTTATGACATTGTTTAAAAATAGCATTGCCGTTGTTTTTTTTTTTATTTTTTCTTTAGCCATAACTTGACGTTTATTTCTTTCTGTATTTTGTTGCTAAGAAAAATGAAGGATACAATATTTAATAAAAGAACATAAAAGCATTATTCTCATTGCAAATTCACACAGTGTCTTTACAGTATACCATTTTTTTTTCTCTCGAAAACACATTATGACTCTGTAGGTGTGGAAGTGTTGGAAAAATATTTGTATTCAAACTTCACTTACATTAATTGTATATTATTTAATTAGCAAGTTTCGCAACAGTTGTTCAGAAATTTTTTAACAAAGTTTCAACAATTAATAAACCAGTTTCATGATTGCCATTCAGCATTTATATTTAATATTAGTTTATTATATAGCCCTGAACTGGTTCATATTGTTTTTCCTTCAACTTATATATTTCTTTTATCACTTTCATTCGCGTTTTCAAATTGCACTTGTATCAAAGCAATGCTACCAACAATGAATTTTAAAAAAGGCGTTATTATGGGCTGTGGTAATTTTCCTCTGTATTTTTAATTCTTTTTTCCATATTTTATTATACTTTTATATTTAATGATTACTTTCGTGTACTGAGGATGCGTAAATCCCGTTCAAAAACTTATCAACATCTGTATTTAATTGTAAGGCGATACAAATTCATTCATAACCATAGAACCAGAGACGGGTTAATTCCTTTGAGGTTTTAAAACCTAATTGAAAGTTAAAAGGCACATTCAGAGTGCAAATTTCAAACAGTTTCAATTTCATGTTCCCGTAAGTAATTTTTAAATTGTTTATGCAATTTGCTTTTCTTAAAAAGTTCCTTTAATGTGTTCAATGTACCCTCTTTTCAGTGTCACTTATTCTGTTTTTGTGAAAGAATTTGTTATCTATTTTTAAATGAGTGAACGCTGTGGGTCCTTATTATATAATTATGCATTAAGTTGTGGCTGCAAAGTTTTTTACCGTGTAATAGATTCGTTTCTATTTATGTCTTGCGAAAAAATGTTTATACTGCAAATATCCCACTGCAAATGTCCCACTCTAGTGTGAATTCAAACCTAATTTCATAATGTAAACATTAATTACTGTGGGTATTTTGTTTATGTTTTAAACTTTTGAATATAAGGAGTTAAGGAGCTGTAACTTGTATTCTGCGACTGATTGCTATCTCAGTGAGCAATAATTTTAAACGAAATACATTTCACGGTAAATTAAAATTCAGTCATTTATAGTTTTTATGGGTCAAATCATAATATACTTTGAAATGTATACGCTCCTTTAATATCTAATATTCAGTTCACTTGTATTGATCATATGTTTAATTATTTGACGTATATTTTAATATAGATATAACTCCAACAAACTCTTATTGTTAGTGAAACCACCAGTTAACGGTCTATTGCGTTTAGACGCTTTTTGATTGTGAATTATGAAAGGTTGTTTTAGTTTAATTTCGGTGCCCTATACTTAGTTTTCTGGGAACATGTTCATTTTGTTTCGGCTATTATAGTTATAGACCTAACGTTCCTATATTTATAATGATTAAAAGTACCTCGATATTCTTGATACTTAGAGCTCGTATGACATGCTAGCTTGGTGTTACACCTTAATAATTTATCGGAACTATTAATAGAATATTTCGAAATATTTGAAGAGAAGAATTGTAAATCAAATATTTTTTGTTATATTATTCTCATTAGCTATCTATTTAAATCCCTTTTCAAAGCGTATCTGGGAAAACAATGATTTGCATGGAATCTTTGATCTTTATTTGCTCGAGTTAACAACGATACATGATTATTATACGAGATAGGCAAAAAATATTACAGCAAGTTTTATTATAATTTAAAAGCAAGCCTATAGAAATTTATAAGCAAAAAATCTTTTATAACACCAAGTGGGCATAGCGAGTATAAAAAATTTTACGACATTGTAGAATCTCAAATTTCTACTTATTACTGTACTTATTTAATTCGAAATTATTTTTAAAATTATAAATTCCTATTTATTTGTTATTATAAATTATTCCAGGTTGTCTGCCATTCGAAAACATTCACCTATGAGATGCACGATATATTTATTATGTTGGGTTGTAAACTGGTACACTAACTTGAGGTACTTAGCATAGTTAGAAAATTTAATTTTATTACTTAGAATTAGATTAGTTCGTGGATTGATAATATCCACATCAGAAATGTGATATTATGAGTCTTTGTATAAGCAAATAGTTTACATTTTAATATGAAAATAAAATGCTTTGTAAAAGAAAGAAAGGTTGTTTTAATGAAATGAAATGCTGTTCCTTTTATTATGCCGCTTATATTCCATTATAAATTACTGGGTTACATATCACAATAGTCAACAATTGAAGCTATTTTCAAAGTCGATATACAATGCTACTATCAGTAGAGGTTATATAATTATAAAGTTTTATCATATAAATCTCAATATATTATGACAAGAAAACTGACGAGATACTTCCTTATTAAGATTAACAAAATTGTGCGTTATACACAACATAATGACAAAACTATTTAAAATGTTTTTCAACGGTATGCGTACTTGCGGCTTCTCTAATATCATTCCACTAAATATTCATAAATTTTGCAATAGCATAAAGAGTCCGAAATTATTACAGAACGCAACAAACAAATTTTACAATGTAATAAAATCACATTAAAGTCTACAAGTATTAATCATATTAGAGAATTTCTCTTTTACACATGAGAAGAATGTCAATATGATATTTGTAATGCATCTTTTTAACTTAAAAAAAGCAAGATATCTGGTAAGTGTTATATCTGTGCAATGAGAAACAAAAATATTTAAAAAATAAATTTATGGACCCCAGTAATACTGACTGTTTTCAAACTATGCTACAGTAATACCCTTTACGAGTATCAACCACGGAACTATTAATAAATTAAAACAAATTGCAAACATCAACATATTGAGGATTACGATGAGATAACAAAATATACATTAAAATTGGCCTATTTACTTTTAACACACAAAATAAATAAAACTATTCGATTACAAGCTATTATTATAACAAGAATAGCACTGGTGACGGTTTATTTAGTCGGAATTACTATCGTGATCACTGGCCTTTTACATCTGAAACAAAGTAATTTTGTATTATTGAATAAATACTATTTACAATATAAAATACAAACCAAAATAAATGTTATCTAAAAACTTAGTCCACCCGGCATGGTGACAATGCTAGCTGCATTTCCTAGCTGAGAAAAGAACCAGCTCTAGTCGTCAGCCGCAGCGATAAGTCTAGGCAATAAGCCTTTCATAAATTTCGATGTGCGAGGAACCCACGGACCTAAGGTTCAACAGCAAATGGCACAAACACAATCTGATGAAAAATACTTATATTTGCCTCAGCTGAGTGACCGAAGTAACTCTAGATGAGAGGCGGTGAAAGTTTCTGCTCAAGGGATCCCCAAGGGGTCAAAGTCAAGCCATCGTGGCGAAAAATGCCACAGGGCTCTAGAACAGAAGGCATGTTTATTAAAAAATAGACCTATGGATGACGTCGTTTGAGAAACTGTGGGCGGAAAAGCGCGCAGCACTATTTTTGCAAGTAACCAAATTTATGGACCGTGGTGACCATATTTATCTACATTGACACCACAAGGGCATTGGTGTGGTTGGCAAATCGGTGTTCCTTGGCGGATTCCGATAGTACTCCATAAGTTTTCAATTTTCATTGTCAAGTGAGGTCCCAAGTTACTTCGCACTCAAGCAGCTAACATTTTCACTGAAACATCTGATCATTTTACTCAGGCAGCTGACCTATTCATTCAAGCAGCCGACCTTTTTACTAAAGCAGCTGACCTTTATACTCAAGCAGCTTACCTTATTACTTAAGCAGCTCACCTTGCTTCACGCTTCTCCGCCCTCCCGCCCAACTCGTCACTCGAGCAGCAGGGCGGCGAGGTGCTGCACGCGGTCGCGGTGCTCGCGCATGTACGCGTGCGCCTCCCACAGCATGGTGACGAGCTTGTCGTCCGCGCGCTCGTCCATCGCCACGTCGCGCGACAGCCTCGGCGCGAAGCGGTAGTACGGCACGCCCATGCAGGCGCACCACGCGCGGGCGCGCTCCACCACGCGCCCGTCCGACTGCGTCGCCTGGACGAAACGAGGGCCGGTAATAGGTCGATTGGAGATGGAAGCGCGTCTTACCAACCTCCTAATAGCAGAAAGTGATTTATAAGAAAAATGTTTCTTTGTATTATGTGTGTAAATCGATTTATAATAAATTACTTGAATTATGAATTCGTTACTTAATCTATCTAGATTAGACATTGTATGACGTCATATAGTATTCTTTCAAATAAAGTGTTGACTTGGATTTTTATATTGGTTACGATTGAAAAGGGTTTATAGAATCGGTGGTAAGTTGATCAAATCTTAATTAATAGCAATCTAATGGATTCCCATGGGAAATTATAACCTAGGCCTAGCTCAATTCCTGTTTCAATATCGTATGTATTTAGATTCCTTACCTGATCGACAAGCAAGTTTCCTAACGCAGTCAATCCCCAGGCGAGCCGCGCCGTGTCCCACAAGCTCTCCGGCTTGAAAACGTCGTAGTCCTTTATCTTTGTAACCGGTATTTGTCCTGGAAACAAACTCATTGTTACAATACAGTTCTCAAAATCCAATGAGGTCATTTTTCACGCGACCATGAATTTTAATAACTTAAAAAATAGCATAACATTACAGATTTTTTATCGCGTTTATTTTTAATATTTAGTTCTGGAAACTGGCGGCTAACAATGACATTAAGTCGTCCAACGCCGCAGTGCCTCGTAACAAGAGTTCGAAACGTCGGGAACTAACACTAAAAATGAACGCGATAATTCCGCAAAAATAGTTTCATTTGGTATTGTGTAATGTTTCAGGTTCACGACGGTTTACCTTATGTTAAGTGTTAACCGCCGCCCATGAACATTTGCAACACCCGTAGGGTTGCAAATGTGTTGCAACCTTTAAATAAATTGGGCCCCGGTTACCTCGCTTACCAGACGAAACGCAGAAGTGTAACAATTTTACGCCGATATTCTGTGAGGTCGCGGTACTTACGGACGGACCTGCCCATTCGTGCATCAGTAAACTCTGTTGCGTGGCCCTACCACCGTAAAAAAAAACTTGCCTTGGAAAGGCCAAACATAATAAGGGCGTGTACACACAAGCGAAATTTTTCGCACCTGTTCCACGTGAGACTATAGACAAAATATAATAAAGGCGTGTACACTTTAGCGAAGTTGCTCACACCTGTTCCACATGAGACTAAAGACGAAACACAATAAAGGCATGTACACGCTAGCGACATTGCTCGCACCTGTTCCACATGATACCACAATCTTCAGATTGGTCTTCTTCGCCGCCTCGAGCTGGCCGGTGCCCTCGTAAGCCAGTCGCAGTTCGGTAAGCTCCGTGAGCACGTCCAGAGTGGGGTTGTTGCCCATCAGACCGCCATCGACGTACCTGCAACACAGGATTCGATTGACCACTGAAAGGAGGCAAAACTACTTTATTCTCTACTTTATTATCTACTTCTTGATATTAAAATTTCTAGAGAAATGATCGAAAAGTTTTTCGCCGCCGCAGGAATTGAAACCCACGTTTTCCTTATACGCACCCAGACACTTTAACCGCTAAGACTTATTGACACACGGACAAAAATATAAACATATATTATCCACCATTGTTCTTACGTATTACACACGATGATTGGCGAATCTATTAACAAAAGATGCGCCAAGCGTTGACATTGTCTTTCACACAAAAAAATTCAAATTTCGTTTTGCAAGAATAATTCGAACGGAATAATTCGAACGAGAGTTTTATACTTCTTTGGCTTATTGATACTTTGAACAACTTGCTTCTTCATACTTTGTTTTTTTGTGCTTTCCCAGTATTCCGTAAAGGGTGTGTTAGTTAGTGGACCAGTTAGTCTCTACGAGTATGAATGGTTTTTGGTTTTACTCTTGGAACATTTAGCAGACATACAGGGAGATTTTTTGAGAAGTGCCCAAATTTACACAGGAGGTTCAGACTCGGTAGTATAATCGTTTATTGAAGTAAAAAAACAAAGAATTTTTTTTCCCAAAAAAAAATTCCCTAAAAAACAGAACGTGTTGACAATGCGGTAGTAATTCATGAATACCTAATATTTTACTGTGCACGAACTTGTGTGCGTGTTAGTTATGAATGATCGCGCGTAAAATAAATGAGTTGCGTATAAATCACGCACTTTTTGACATAAGTTCAAATGAATGTAATTAATTACTTAAGAGTGATTTTAAATATTTATCATTATTATATAACATTATTTATGTCTAGAATTTAATAAAAAAAATGGATACACTAAGAAAAGCCACCCTGTATAGATGGACAGAATAAACATTAGTTGATAGCTGACATACAAAATAAATCGTGATTAATGACGTTAACCGAGCGTGTATACGGACATTTAAATGTATGTGCGTGCGTGTATGCGTGCGTGCGTGTATGCGTGCGTGCGTGCGTGCGTGCGTGTGCGTGTGTGTGTGTGTGTGTATGAGTGGGGGCGCGTTACCTGCCGGAGGCTCGGAAGTAGGAGGGCGCGGCGCCCGTTGCCCTGGCCGCCTGCCACACCAGCTGCTCTGCGGGCGAAGGCGGGGGGGCGAGGGACACCACCGACCCCCCCTGCCCCTGCCCCGCCCCCTGCCCCTCGTCCGCCGCGCGGGGGCCTTGGGCCGAAGCGGCTCCATGTTACCTCGATCTTTATTCAAATTTACAGTGGCAGGGCCACACCAGACGCTGTCCCGGACGGGAATTACCTCGGCCTCACACAATACCCGCGTGAAGTTTAAAGGTATTAACTCCTGCGTTTCGTCTGGTGAGCGAGGCGACCGGGACCCGACTTTTAAAGGTCGTCGATGCATCTGCAAGTCGTCGAGTGGTCTGGATCGCCGTGGACGGCGGTATTCATTCAAAATCGGGTGAACCGACAGCTCGCTTGACAATTTTTCATATGAAAAAAAAAAGAAAACCCCGGACAAGTGCGTGTCAGACTCGCGCACGAAGCGTTCCGTACCTACCAAAATTATGTCTGTTATATGGGAGCCCCTTTTGAATATTTTTTATTCTGCTTTTTAGTATTTGTTTCAACTATCTAACGATCATGGTTCATGAGCAACAGCTTGGTGACAGACGGACAGACAGCGAAGTCTTAGCAATAGGGTCCCCTTTGGGTGCGAAACCCTAAAAACGATGCTCTCTAACTACAAGTCCGTAGACTAATGAAGTTCGTGTAGCTACCAGATTTCGAGAGCTCGATACGCCGCTCTCCGCTGTAGTACTGTTTACTTTTTCGTGGAAACTTTAATGCACAGGTAGTATTTCTGAACCAATCTTAACCGCTCACACTCGCAATTGGAATTGCAAGTATGGCGAATATTGCATCACATGTGACGTACAATATAGACAAGGGGACAAGAGCATAAGATTCCAAAAGAAAACAAATAAAGAAATGCGAAAAATACGAATATAACAGATAATGAAATCACGTTTACCTTAAATTATACGAAGTATTCATTGCGTAAATTATCAATATTATTTTGCCTGAGGTCTGAATGTCAATAATAAACGGTTAGATAAAAATAAATAAATTAATGTTGCTGTAGTTGTTACTTGAAAGGCCATCGAAGTTGAATACAGTATGCAAACGTATTTTAAACACACATTTCTAAAAAAATAAACATAAAAATAAACTTACATTCGATTAAGAATAATCAACATAATCAAGTGTACGGCAAACGCAAAAAGCCGGCGACAACTAATAAATAATGAACATATAACGTAAATAGATACTTAGCAATGTAAATAGATACTCGTGTTAGTTATGTAGACGTCGATAAGTGATCCGAGGTCATAGGTTTGAGAACCAGTGGTGTGTACCATTTTTTTTCAAAGTCAAAGTCAAAATTTCTTTATTCAACACAGGCTTATTTTAAGATCTTATTGAACGTCAAAAACCACAATCGGTTCACTACACTAGAACCGGCAAGAAACTCTACGGTCATATAAAGCGTGTCGTTACCATCGCGACATTAAATGAACACACATATAGGAAATTACTTTTTAAAGTTGTATTAAACATTTAAATTCTTTAAACATCAATATTTACAGAGTTATTAAATTTTCCAAAACCAAGAATTTTAGAACCCCCTTACGTATAAAACTGTAACGTAAAGTTCATTTGTAAAGGTCACAAAGCATATGAATGGGTTGAATGAATTTAAAAGAGACAAAACATACTGTTAGAAGGAGAGGCTTGTAATACGACGCTGTGGCGCTAGTTGTATAGGATGTTACAAATTTCGTTTCTTTTTTACTTAATTAGTTTGTTTGAAAAATATTTTTTTTTAATTATGGATTTTGTTTAACGTTAATATTTTTTTAAAATTAATGGCAAGTAGCGTTAGACGTGTCTTCATTTATTGTCGCGATGGTAACGACACGCTGTATATGACCGTAGAGTTTCTTGCCGGTTCTAGTGTAGTGAACCGATTGTGGTTTTTGACGTTCAATAAGATCTTAAAATAAGCCTGTGTTGAATAAAGAAATTTTGACTTTGACTTTGAAAAAAAATGGTACACACCACTGGTTCTCAAACCTATGACCTCGGATCACTTATCGACGTCTACATAACTTATTTGTTTATATAAATTATTTAAGTATATACACAAAAGTATTCAAGTATAAAATTAACTGGAGCCAGGGAACTTGCAAGAGTGATTTCCACACATCTTTGTCCTCAATCTATTCCTCGACATTATAATAGGCCCTTTCCCTTAAGGTAGCTTTTACAAAATGTTTGTAATTATTTATACTTTTTTATGGATTGACATCCACAATATTCTATTCTATTATATATCCTAATCTATTATGTAAGTTTCATATTACTATTTCACATTCAAATCCATTTTATAGCTCACCGCTTGTTACATTTGTTTATAAACAAACTATACGAAAAGTCTATTGTGACTAATCTATTTGCCTCGCACTCAGAGATGTCAATTGCCGCTTGATCATTAAATTCAAATGCTTCTAATCTGGCCCACGACTGCGTCTGCTCATGATAAGTACTTCTAGTAGAACATTATATACGTGTAACTCTAACGGTTTTTGCAGCGCACACTAGAATAGCTCGCTTACTTGACACTTATCGTTATATTTTGGACAATTCTAACAATATCTTTATAAATTATAACCTATGTGTTATTCTGATGTGTAAGTAATATTATTGTAAAGTTTCATTACCATCCATTCAGTAGTTTTTGCGTGAAAGAGTAACAAACATCCATACAACCATACATACAAACTCTGCCGTTTATAATTAGTAATTAACAATTAATAATAAGTATATTAGTATTACTAGGGATACTCGTAATGTTGCATAAACTCACTTGAGGCGCCGTTGTATTCGTCCAGTATCTCCTGCGCGGACTGGTAGTTCCTGAAGATGTGGAGGTCTACCGGCTTCCTATCGGCGAGCACCGCCAGTATCATCATCTTCGGATGCGTGATATCCGCCATGACCGTCTCGGTGCCTGGTCGCAAACAAATTACTTTTAAATTAAAAAAAATTGGTAATATAATTAACAAATAATTAATAAAAACGTGTCATAGGTGTTATTTCGATGTGAAGATTTGTCTAAAGTACCCGATATGGAAGTATTTTTTTTCGAGGAAACAGCAAAACTTACGGTTTAAATTAATATTAGAAAAAACAGTGCGGAGTAAATGGATGATTTTATAGTAATCACAGAGATAGTACTACTTTGCGGTCAAAGGTCAAAATAAACCGGTTGACCTAGAGATTATTTCATGTTGATATAACTTGATTTGGAGGATTTAAGTGTGACATATATAACTGTGGTAAGGTTTATTTTCGGCTGTTGCAACTCACAGAAGACCGGCGTGAAGTGAAAGTGTTACAATGCTTAGTTTGGTCTGACGAGTGAGGTGGCCGGGGCCCACTGTATTTAAAGGTGGCAACTCATCTGAAAAAAACAAAGTCAGCAGAGGCGTGCAAAACAAACTCACCCAGGCACTCCTTCAGTATGTTCTCCAGGGGCTCCGAGGGGTAGGGCCGCATCCCCACGAAGGCGAACTCCTTCATCCGGAAGTAGAGCTGCTGGCACTCCCTCAGGGTCTTCCCTGAGGCCAGCGCGAGGGCGAGGATGCCGCCCGTGCTGGTGCCCGCCACCCAGTCGAAGCAGTGGATGATCGGCTTGCCGATAGCCGCCTCCAGGTTGATCAGGATCTGCACCAGCACTAAGCCCCTGATGCCGCCACCGTCCAGGCAGAGGAGCCTGCAACGGACGCACGCGTCAGGTACGCTATGCGGGTGGCGGAAGATTGAGTCTTCGTGTTCCCTTCGTGCCCCCGGCTAATGCGATAGTGACTTTTTTTAATGTGAAAAAGTGGCAAACGAGCTGGCGGTCCACCTGATGTTAAGTGATAACCGCCGCCCACGGACATTTGCAACATTTTTTTAATAATGTGGGCACTCGGCTACCTCACTCACCAGACGAAACGCAGAAGTATAACACTTTCACTTCACGCTGCTCTTCTGTGAGTCCGAGGTACCTACCCGGACGGACCTGCCCACTCGTGCAACAGCGAACACTGTTGCGTGGCCCTACCACAGTAAATAACAGTAATATTCAAAATCCGTTCGTGTGACCAAACAGATAACGTCTGTTTGTGAACAAAAAAACGTCGTGTCTCCCAAACGGCGTGGGCGTTGGCAAACACTTTTTTTATGGTTATATTTATTTTTGGAGCTAGTGTGCACTCAAGATGAAACTTAAATGTCATTTTAATAGATACACCGTCAAAAGTTTTCGCCCTCACAGAATTCGAACTGTGTGTTGACGCACAACACTCAGTCTGTCCCGTAACTATGGACTCTATCAAGGTTTCGAAACGTTAAACGAATTGAAAAATAAAATGCGATAATCTATAATCTAGTTTTATTCAGCAATGTGCAAACGCGTAAGCTCAAGAGATCATCGCGGACAATTGAGGTCGGCGCAACTGATAGCAATGTCACACTGTCTTGTATAGAGATTTCAGACAGTTTATGTACTAAATTACTTACCAATTTTTCTAAGTGATTCATGTTAATATAACAGGTCACTTAAATCATATTTAGAAATGCTGTGAGATGCTAAGTTTCTTTTCTTTAACTAAAAAATATTATAACTATTCTGTAACTCGTGAGTTTCATGAAAATTTCTTATATTTACGCGATTACACATTATTGAATTCAGGGTTTCTTTTGGAGCATGTTTGTATAGGACAATAGAATATGCAAAGCTTCTTTGCATGTGTGGAGTGTATGGTAATGTAATAAATAAATAAATATTTCATGTCATGTTAATGTTATCTTGTCCCAAACTTGTACTACTATGAATACTAGTTAACTGATAAACATACTTTTCTGTTGTAAATAAATATAAACACCCAGACACTAGAAAAACACGCGAAATTTTTCTAGTAGCGGGGATCGAACCCAAAATCTCTGGCGCAGAAGCCCACTATCCACTACGCCAATCGGCTCAAGTGTTTCTTGTAAACAGTAAGTACTTTCCGAACCGGTGGTAACTAACGAACTTGTGTATCAATCTTTATTTTGGTTCTTCTTTGGCTTTGGTCTTTCGATAACCAATCAATTATAAACCGTCAGGGTCTACCGTTCATAAAAAAATAAATACAATATTTTTTTCAGTTTCTTTGTATATATAATTCTTCTGTACGTGTGTATGTCACTGACGGCTGCACTTATTTTAATGAAATTTTTTGTGCGTCTTCGGGTCGATTTGAGAATGGTTTAGATTCACAATTCGGTCCACTACAGTTTTTTATTTATTTATAAGTCGTTGTCGGATTAAAATCGTGTGTATTGGACAACGTCTGTCGGGTCCGCTAGTCATTACGTAAAATTCGACGTCTCATAAGAACGCGAACGGCTATTTGGACGGAGACACTCCGAATTCGACCCACCGTCCGTGGCTCTTCTCGGCGTTGAGCGATGCGCGAACGACGGCCGCCGAGGAGAGCATGTCGCCGATGACCTCGCGCGCGGCCGCCGTGGGCACGGGCGGCGGCGGCACGCCGTTGTACTCGCCGCGCGGCGAGCAGTGCGGCCCGCAGCCCGGCACGTCGGGCGGGCACCTGGCCGCATCGCCCAACTTGTATATTTTCTTTATGTGAGAAGTATGCGTAACGGAAAACTTATACCGTACTCCCCTCCCAAATAGTGTGCTGGTAACTGCGTGTACCACCACACCTTAATATCAATATGGAATGGATGAGCTTATGTCAATTGTATGGCGGTTAAGAAATGTCAAAATAAACCGACCGATGTCATTGAATGCTTTTACTGCACTGAAATATATTAAAATTATAATTACGAACTAAAGTATAAACTAGGTCGCGCATACGAACGCTTGCAAGTGTCAATATGCCGTGTGCGCAATTTTGCTATACAATAGAAAATGTACGGCTTTGCCTGTACAAATTAGTACAAATAGAAATACTCAATCTTTCTCCGTCCTACTAAACTTGTTTACTTCAAGATTCACTTTTGTCATTCTTCTATCGTAATACATTAATGACGACGCCAATGTGTGGAGTTAATACTGTTGATACTCACGTAGGGTAGAATAAGACTATTATACCGGTATTTTACATTGTAAACTGATATCTTTGAAAAAGAGCAACTGTCGAGTTTCTTGCCGGTCTCTTCTCAACAGAAACTGCTTTCCGAACCGGTGGTACCTTACGAACCTCTATGTATAATTTTTTATGTAAAATTTGACGATTCATGAGAACGCGCAAGCGTCTATTTGAATAAAGATTTTTGATTGATTTATTGAATGTAGTAGTGTTTTTTTTTTTTTAATTTTTGAAGGCGTTTGGAAATGCACATCAAGCAAGGACAAACATCTACATACGAGTAATTCACACACATCTGTAGCAAAAGCAAATTCTCGTCCCGTTGTGAGAATCGAATCCGCGACTTTGTTCGAAAACTTGTCCAAAGGTAATAAATTCTACCGCTACCCGCTAAACCTACCTCTGCGCGCCCACCGCGTGCAGCACGTACAGTATCCTGTCGTACACGCTGTTCGACATTTCCGTGGGCACGGTGTGGCGCGCCGTCAGCCCCGAGTTGTTCCTCGCCTCGAGGTCGGCGCCGAACACGATCAGGGCTTGCACGATCGAGATGTTGGTCTGCTTCACCGCCAGGTGGAGGGGCGTGTTGCCCTCCTTGTCGCCGATCGAATGTTCGGCACCCCTGGAAAGGAGGGCGATCGCGCACTCCAACCGGCCCCGCAGCACCATCACGTGCAGCGCGCTCCTACCGTCGAAGTTCAGCGCGTTTATGTCGCAGTTCTTGTCTACCAGCGCGTCGACCACCTCTCTAGACACGGCCCAGTGCAGAGGCGTCCCTCCATGCTTCATGTCCTGCTGATACAGCTTGGGATGGTTGTCCTGCAGTATGTCCCCGACAATGCCTGCAATGCGTGGTCTCCCATTAAGTTCCCTCGACTGTACCACGGGCTACTGGCAAAATATTGCGTGACGGACGCAGCGTTTTCCTAAGAAGTTCGATTAAAACTGTGCTCGAATTTTGATGGGGTGGGTCATTTGGCTGTTCTCGTAATCAACGAAATTAGGGATAGAAGGCTTAACAATTGTTGAATTGCCCCAAGTGTTTCCGTAGAAATAAAAATATTGGACTCTCAGATGTAAAGTTGGAAAATAATTTATTCTTTCTGACTCTTGGCAGTAATCATTTTTTGAGTTTGCATTCCTATGTTATTGTCCGCAATCCGAATAAACTACATTGACCTGGTCAAACTTCTTGGAAACAAGAACTATCGATTGAAAAAAATAGTTCGGTCTTCAAATAATCCTTTTATTATTTTTCCAGTTTAATATCGAGCGAAAAAATACATATTGTAAGGCTAGGCAACAATGAATAAAACTACATTATCCCGCACATTTCGAGTCTAGTCACACGACGCCTGCTCCCATCTCAGAAACGTTACAGAACAAATCAAATATAGCTTAATGAGCTATTGTTTTATTTACTAATATTTACGGCAGTGATTGTATCACAGCATATTGGTTATTCCAACTGATGATATGAATCACACATTACATCACGAACTAATCTCGCTTCGCCGTCATTACTTTTAGTTATAATTAGTAAAATCGGCCTTGTGGCTAAGAACAAAGTCCGGTGCTCTCTTGCCCGTTTTCACCATCGATCCCCAACTTTAAGGGACACTTAAAAATATTCAAGTGCTAGTTTCGTTTTCACCACCGCATAAAGGCCCATTTACACGGTGCCAGTTTCTTGCCTGTTGTATACAATTAAATTGAAGCAATAAATGAGTTGCATGGTCTAAACAACAAATGGTCTTAACAATTATTGCGCGCAATTTATTGCATTCAATTATTGCTCTTGTATGTACAAGAAAATGGCATCGTGTAAATGGGCCTTAAGTGTCACGCTTAAGACTATATGTGAAAATGGGCATTAGTCTTTCTCTTTTCAATAAATAACAAGTCCCTCTAGGCATTAAAGGCAGTGTCGCGGTAGATTTAGCAAACATGAAAATAACGGTCACAAGCCGAGACTCGGGAGCAATAATTTTTGCATTGCAATGCCATGATGCGGAATAGCAGTTGGCGATGTGACCACCTATATACTATTTCGCAATCGTTATAATCAGGCAGTCGCTCAATACACTTAACTCTAACGTAAATAAATTAGTTTTCCATGAAAAACCGATATAAAACGTATTTATAATCTTCGGGGATAATTATGCACATCGGTATTTGGAAAGAGACAATCGGCTAATTTTGGTTTCGTAGAGCGTCATCTCTGTCACTCACTATCTACCTGACATTTGTCAATCGTTGTAAATTGGTGCGAAAGAGTGCTTTTTTTCCAAAGGTCGATGTGCAATATATATTGTAGAATAAAACGAAACCTTAAACATGCTGCGTATCGGTCATCATTCGTATCGTATACTTATCTACGGTTTCTCAACGAAAATCTAAAATAACTTTTGTCAGTTTACCAATCGTGAATCACATATTGGTATTACACATTTGCAATTCTTAGACGACGGCGCGTCGAACACTTAGTTTCCAATACGGAAAGAGAAAAATAATACATATAATCTTCATAATACGTTACAAAATGTTGCCAATTTATTCTCATTTTACATGTCCGCCATGTTATGTTGGAGCAGAGCACGCTACATATTATACAATAATCATAATGAAATATTCCATAATAATGATTTTTTAACTAAAGTTACTAATATGATAGTGACTGGCCGTATACACAATCCCAAAAAAACTTTTAAATATTATTTAGCCTTGCAAATGAATGTCTATATTCTTCATTCCTATTGTAAGAAAAAAGACTGCGAAATAAAAACTAGATTTAATAAGACTCATTAACATGATCGTATTGTACATAAAATCGCATTATTTTTATTAATACGTATGTTTGAATTTGAGTATTGTTGCTCTCGGTTTAAGCCTCAATGGCTAAATGTAATTCAATGAAGCAAGGAAATGAGAAAGAAAGAAGAATAAATAGCTTACGAGTTGATCAGACATATCGTGGTAGCGAACTTCGCGAACAGCGGTGAAGGGTGAGGAACCTATATACTTTTGAAATAATAACAAAAAAAATATTCCGAAGATAAGTGAAGTCCGCCTATCCGTAGTAGGGCCGGGTGATTTACTATGCGCTGATACCCTTTGTACAGAGAAGGCCTTTGCCCATCTTTGGGACATGTATAGGCTATTACTTTACTGTTTTTTCATTTAATAAATAGTAGATTGCCATAGGAAGTAAGATAAGTCTGTTAAGAAATTTAAGTGCTTTTTTATAATTCTAATCTCTGCATTTAAGATTAAACATTAAAATTTGAAGAAAAAATACGTTTTTGGCATTCGCGGCTTGACGCTTTAGCCATTAAGCTAAAGGGCCGATTGCCACACCGACGAAAATCTTAACGTCTTTTACCTACATCGTTTTTTAGCATTTGAAGCAATGTCGAGGACATGGGCTCGATTTCCAAAGCGGCGACAATCTTTTCGTACTTTTTCTACAAATTTTAAGTTTGTTAAATTATACTTTTTTTACAGTACATCAATGAATGTCACTTCTGCTACGTCGTAAAAGTCAGGATTCATTATGCTGCGACCCATGTTCATTTTTCTCCTCCTTTATAACATACCGTTAGACCATAATCGTTATAGGAGTTCATTAACGACACGTTGTATACGCAAATAAATAAAATTGGAATGTCTGTTTGTAATGTCAATATAACAGTTATCAACCTACATCAAAAAAGTAGAGGTTCTTAATTCGGTTCTATGCGTTTTTTTTACGTTTGTTACATCAGAACTCGGTCATTTATGTACCGATTTTAAAAATTATTTTTGCATTAAGTTCGGGTTTTCTCCCGTGTGGCCCCACAATAATATCGTTAGTATTGGACCTTTTTTTTTAATTTGGTCATTGGAGCTACATCAAGGATAGGAAATGTATGCTGACTGTGATATTTGAAGTCTGCTTTGTATTTTGTCACTAAAACTGTTACACTTGTTTACTTAATGCATAAGGATGTTTACACGGTACTCATGCTAAAATAGTCATTTTCAAAATGTTGTCTGTCTGTTTGTTCCGGTCCGGCTAAACATAGAAACAGCCAGGTTGATTTTAAGGGAACGTTCACTGAAATTTATGCTACGTTAATAAATTACTTTTATCTTAAAAAAATAATTGGTGTCTTTAAAATAATTCGACTCCATGCTGAGTTGTGAGGAGAAGTGTTTGCATTTGTGAGATATATTTAGGTTATTTTGGCACAACAAAAATTGGGGATCACAGCAAAACAAAAAGACGAACCAATTTTTTCTTAATAGTCATCATATGTGTATAATCTGCCATTTAATAAACCCAACTAACTGAGATAAATTGCTGGTTGAAAGCGAAGGTCACGCAATGTAAATCGTGTATACGCTATTAAAATATTTGTATGCGTAAACTTTTCGCGAATTCTGTGAACCGAACAATCAAACAAAATTACTAATTGACCGACGTAGATTAATTCTCTTCTGTACAATTTTATTAAAATAAAATTGTACAGAAGAGTTCTATACCAGGCAGTGCATTCGATGGCTGGGAACGCTTCGCAGCTGACAAGTTGACATCAGCACCAGCTAGCAGGAGTGCGCGGACGCAGTCGGGAGCGTCTGCTAGGCAGGCCATGTGCAACGGCGTGTAGCCCTGCTTGTTGTAAACGTTCAGGGAGGTGGCTTTTTTTTGTGCCAAAACCTATAACGAAAATTTTAAAGTCAGTACTTGTTTTTTTATTTCTGCGGCGATGCCTTTGCAACATTTATGTTTATTTACCAATTATCTTAGTAATGTACTGTTTACTGAGCATTGCTTTTATGCAATGCCACATTAGTATGTTAGAATTTAGTTTTGTACAGGTACAAGAGATAAGTCTATAAATTAAAAATATACCAATCAAATTGAGAACCTCCTCCTTTTGACGTCGGTTAAAAATAGCTCAGCTGTTGCTTCAACAGCTTTTATTTTCGTACGTAAATTGTATATATCAATTTCATTACAAAATGTATCATAACAATACAATAATTTTTATCATTACAACATTCCATACATTTGGAAAAATGAATGGTTGTGACTAGATATGCTCAGAGAGATTCGGCCTAATATGTGATTACTTTACCGAGTAATTAAAATATTTGAATAATTGTTTTGAGATTTACGTAAGTCACATTATTCAAACCAATACAAAGAGTCTACATAATTCTATATGGCTCTATACAGTTTATACTCAATATGAAGACACTATGCTATATGATACAGATTATATGACAATGCTAGTATACATTAACATTATTATAATTTGTTTTATATTCAGTAAATTTACTTAAAAATACTTACATTAATAATCTCTTTATTGCTGGCTGCAGAGTAATGAAACACATTATTTCCTTCTGAGTCAATTGCATCTAACGAGCAATTTAGAGAGAGCAAGTTTTGTACCATGCGAACATTTCCAGTCTTGACTGCAACCTAGATGAAATAAAAATTAAATAATAAAATATTGTGTAAAAAAGTTCACACAATTTAAAATCAACTAACGTTAGATCAAAGTCTTGCTGACAGGTATGAGAACAGTTATGACCATATGTCTTGTACTAAGTTATAAGAAGTGTAAAATGTTGCATTACAAACCTATCATTTTTGTTTCAACAATTTCATAACAGGAGTATTTTGAACAATTACCATTAATGGAGTAGCCCCTGTACCCGGATCTGCATCATCTAAATGCTTTTGAACATCAGGATCGTTGAATAGCTCATATAGACCAAAGTGTGCCACCAGATGTGCTATCGTCCATGATTGATGCTCGGATAAAGTGTCACAAAGTTTTTGTAATGTCTGAACAGAACACTAAAATAACAGAAAATGTAATTAATGAGTAAAAAATATAAACTTTCAATATGTATAGGATATTAAATAATGAGTAAAATAAGTATGCTACATTTATTTAATAATAACAATGAACTTGGGACTTACTTGCTGATAAAGACATCTACATTCAGGAGGTTAATTTAATAACCCAATTAAATATAGGTCAAGTGAAAAGATTACTTATATAATGGATAACTATTGAGTGTACATATAAATTGATGTTTTTGTAAATATGTCTCTATATACTTATAATTAACCTGAGTACACATTTTTTTCTCAAATAGGCTCTAAATACAGATTTATAATCTGTATAGTAATATAATGAAAGGCACTTACCTCCTTAGTGACTTTTATGTAAAGCGGTATCCTCTCTTTAAACACAATAAACTTTTCCTCAGAGCTTTCGAGGCTATCAGACCGAAATAAACTGAAAAAGACGATAGATATTATCTAATAGAAACTTACTGTTAAGATTTAATACACATTAAATGTATGAAATACACCACCTGTACATATGATATAAGCTTTCCGTAAAAGGTTTGTGTAGGACTATTTCATAATATTTATCTTTAGAATTCTTGTTATTAGGGGGCATCTTTGGTCCATAAAGTAACATGGAATCTTCTCTGTAATGTATTGGCCTCGAAATATAATTGTCTGATCGCACTTCTAAGACTTTAGTGGGCAATTCTTCGGTTCCCAGAAGACCACGAAACACTATCAAATATATTTGAGAATAGTAGTTAATTGAAATAGTGTAAATAATAAAAACGATAAAGTATTCAAATTAATGAAAATTACTTACGTGAATTTAACATTTTGAGGTTGCTTGATAAGACAGATTAATTAAATTCGATAAGAAATCACTTACATTTCTCAACTAAGCATGTGATTCATAATAAAATAACAAAAATTCAAACACAAATTCAAAATAGAACGATTATTGCTATTAAGTATGAGTGTATGAAGCTATTGCGCTGCCGCTGACTTGACTTGACTGACAATTTGACAGTTGTCGACAGAACACAAACTACAGAATAGGCAAAACATCTGATTGCTCAATAGACAGAGAAAACTCGTTTTGTTGAAAAATTGTTTTCTCCGTCTTGAACAACTGTGTAGGTATTAACTGATGTTAACGCTCACAGTCCAAAGACTTTCAAAGCTTCATCGAACGCAGAATCGGGCTAGCCAGAACCCACGGGTTTGAGGCTCTCCACAGTGGATAGGGCCGCGCATGTGCTCATCAGATATATCTTCTCTTTCAGATATATAAAAGTACTCTTTCAGATATATAAAAGTACTCTTTCAGATATATAAAAGTACTCTTTCAGATATATAAAAAAGTACTCTTTGGTACTCATGCGTGCGTTAGCTAAAGATCTTGAACAACTATACCATGGTCTACTCTCACCGGGGTGGAATGAAAGTGTTTAATAAAACCGTGGCCCACTGGTTTAATGATGCCATCGCATATGCATCCCTATGAACGTTGCAGTGCAGATGTCCATGTGCGGCGGTTATCACTTAATTAAGGTTATATGGACCGCCAGCTCGTTTGCACCCTTCTCACATAAAAATAGGTGCCTTGAATTGGTTATTAACCAATTCAAGGCACCTAGCCTTGAATTGGTTATTTGATATGCGATGTTGAAAAATTTCGAAGAAAAATCTTGTTTCATAAGCTTTAGTATCATATTCAGTTTAGTAGCTATTTTCGAATAGTGGATATGGTGTACCGACAACATCCGGTTTTATCAAAAAAAATCGGCCTTTTACAAGAAATGTTGACTGTTATAATTTCTTCTTGTATTTTCGGAAATTATCTGAAGCGCACTATTATCTCGAATAGTGACAGTTTAAGATCGGGCTCGGGTAAAAACGCATCTTTCAAATCTTTATCGCATCCTTTAATGGGTGAACAATCATAAAGTGCTACAGTCCGCGTGGTGTCCTGTCACTGATATATACACCGGATATCCGTTCCCAAGGATTTTATCAATCTGTATATTCTGTAATATGCTCTATTTCGAGGTGTCTCTTTGTATATTTTTTTGGAAGCGTTCTAACAGAAGCGTTTCGTTTCGATTCGCCAGATCTATTTCCGTTGGATAACAATACTTTTTATTCTTTTGAATAGTTCTTCTAGATCTGGATTCCCGTGTCCTCGACCCTAATTGACTCGACTGCGCCTTTTATAGGTTTTCCCCATAACGTCAACATTTCGCGGCTGGGTCTTGGTGTTAGACATGTAATGCTCAATAAGTTCAGAATTAGGAAACTATTGAAAAAAAAATTATTTCCGCAAATTCATAACTTCCCCGAGTCATGTTCTCGTAAATATTTGATTCTCGTTAATTAAATGTCTACGAGAGTTTAAAATTTAAGCGAAATAACTCAAATATGAGTTTAATGGATAAAATACTGAAAAATCTTCGGCACTGCCAGGACTCGAACCTGACACAAGTGCGGAACAATTGTAAATGTGAAATTCGAATGTTCCGTGCAGATTATCAATTAAAAATTAATTAAGAAAACGGTAAAATCCGTAATAATAATAATCTACTATAAACTTCAATGACGGGATTTCAACCCACGATGATTTCTGTAATTTTTCATCGTATGATGTAATGTTTTAACAACTAACATATGCGTCAGGCGCGGATTCCTCCATCAAAAAAGGTTGTGGTCGGAGCTACCTGAAAATCGGCCAAGCGAGTCGGAGTATGAATTCGCTCATAATGGATAGAGGGCATTCTTACAAAGATGTTCACGAACAAAATTTATATTTGACACCCATTGGCATTGGCCTCACACTTAGGCCTTTTCATATGCAAGCCATCGTTAGAAATAAACCCGGATTGGCACCTGCGTAAGGCTTGAGCCAGGTCGAGGTTCTGCAATCAAGCCAGCTCCGCTTATACAGCGTGTCGTTACAACCGCGACAATAAATGAATACACATTTAGATGATAACTTTTTATGGATGTATGAATCAGTCATTTGTAGTCGTATAGTGTTACAAATTTTGTTTCTTTTTTTATTTAATTAGTTTTATCGAAAAATATTTTTTTTAAATTATGGATTTTTTTAACGTTTTATATTTTTTATAATTATTGGCAAGTAGCGTACGTGTGTGTATATTGTCGCGGTTGTAACGACACGCTGTATAAACTTGTTCCTGTCGATCCAGTTGCTGAGGTCGAGAGGGAGGTGTTACGCAATTAGACAATTGAGCCCCAGCCATAATAGTAGCTACTTTTAAAAGCTGCCTTTAACGATAAGCTACATGGGGTACATTTCCAGACAAAGACTGACGGGAAAATACACAACTCTAGAGATCAAAACGTAATCAAGAAGACCTTTACGGTGACAATATTCTGTACGCTGATGATGCCGCTTTTGTTGGAAATTCTCTCATGCATGTGATCTGCTTTCCATGTCTATGAATGCCAAGAAAACAGTCATACCTTTACGGTGGTAGGGCCACGCAGCAGCCTCGGCTGTTGCACGAATGGGCAGGGCCGTCCGGGTAAGTACCACGACCTCACAGAAGACCAGCGTAAAGTGGAAGTATGACAAATATTTTCGCGTTTCGTCTGGTGAGTGAGGTAGCCGGGGTCCAATTTTCAAAAGGTTGTCAACGCATCTGTAACCCTCGGGTGTGGCAGATGTCCATGGGCGGCGGTATTCACTTAACATCAGGTGAACCGCCTGCTCGTTTGACAACTTTTCGCATAAAAAACTAATAATAAATAAATAAATAAAAAATACCTGCCCAAATGCGTGGTACGATACAGGTGGTTACCAAACGGTAAAACTACCGGCACCCTCTAATCCGCTGTAAGGATCTTTGGTTCACATGGAAATCGACACGTCACAGACGAGTATGGAATAATAACCACCTAACTATGCGGACACAAATCCTGGTATACAAAAGAGCATCATCAGCATACTATTGTAGGGAGCCAAAACCTAAACTGCAGCACACAAACGCCAAGTTTGCGAGAGCGCAGTTGCCCCGTCTCAATACCCTGCTTAAAAAGTGACGTCTGTAGCTTATGCATTGCATCAACCCCTCCAATAAATTAATAAATCTGTAAAATCTTGTTTGTTGGTTCATAAAAATTACAAAAGTGAATGTGTATACAAACACATTCACTTTTGTAATTTCATGCTCAATGTCTCAATGTAACACTGATATGCATATGAGTGTCACATTAGACTAAACTAATGAACCGTTTTTGATGAAATTTTTACAATCTCATAGTAACATTTAAAATTAAATAATTTTTTATAGGTCCTTACAAATTCAAGATTACGATTCTTTTTCGGGAAAATTCACGATGATTTCTTCCATCCTTGATCATGTAACAAGTCAGGATTTAACATGGCAGTAAAATTTTTATTGGTACTTTTATGTTAAAGTTTTATTGGTTTTTTCTGAGGTTACTCGAGTATAGCTCAGTCTCCGGGCCGTGATACCTTAGTGTCCGGGCGCTCACCTTTAATTCAATATATTCGAGCAACTTGAGTTCGATCCCCGGTGCCGGCACCGAACGTGCGCCGCGGTGAAGGAAAACATCGTGAGGAAACCCGCATATTTTCGAAATAACAAGAAAAAAAAATATTTTTCGAAGATGTGAAGTCCGCCAATCATCAGTGGGGCCGCGTGGTGAACCATGCCCTGATACCCTGTGTATAGAGGAGGCCTTTGCCCACCAGTGGGACATGTATAGGCTGTTACTTTAGTCGAGTATATGAAAAAAAAAAAAAACTAGCGCCTGGACACTTGGCTATCGCGGCTTGTATAATATTATTAAGCTGAACCCGACAACAATTCGCTTTTTTTTTCGTTTACTTGGAACTTCGAAATAAAAAGTATATGAAACTCTTTCGTTCCATAGCTATTTTGTAAACAAATATCAAATCAGTTTATGAATCAGTTTTATGGACAAAAATTTAAATATCAGACCTATGTAACTTACATTTTTATATATCAAGTTGCTGTTCTTAAATCTGTAAAAGGGCTTAAAAAACACAATTTAAATGCACATAATTATTATTTAGGACTATAAGATAAGATATTTAACTAAAAGTAATACAATTATTAAAAATAAAGAATCATGCAATTTTTTCAATGAAATTGCTATAAATCATGTTTTACAGCCAAACAAATAAAAATATCATACATTTGAGACATTGTACTCAATGGCTCATACTTTATAGTCATGTGACACCTTATGACAATAGTACAGTCTAATAAAAATTTCTATAATTTTATCAATTTATTACTACAAGGCCTTATAATATCATGTTTAAGCTAGAAGCAAGTATGATATAAAACTTTATTTGTATGGCTGTAAACATAGCCAAAATAATATGCAATAAATGTTTACAGATATCTAAAATTTATCTAAAAATGACTAGATATTTTAAATATTTTCGCCAAAGAAAAAAAAAAGGCTTACAAATATTTTTACTTGGAATGTTCTTTTAAATAAACAGCTATATATCGAACATGATTTTAGTAGGGCAATGACTGCCCAAAGTATCCATAATAAACCTGCTTAAATAATAATTGTTAAACATATTTTATAATAAGGTGACAACCAATTAATTTAAAAGATGTATAATTTATAGATATTTTAATCTTTTTATTAACCAAATTTGTTTATCTTTGGTTTATTATACTTCAAAATAAATCATAGTGCATAAGCTATATTAATTATAATTGTAAAATAGAATAGATATGAATCAAACATATTTGTTTTGTAAAACTTACAAGAAAATGATGAAAAAATATTAAATTAAATTTAGCAATACATAACAATACATAATGATTCTCATCTCTCTCTCTCATATCATTAGGACAAAAATACAAAGCTAAGTATCAATTTCATATAAAATTCTTATCATGCAAATGGTTAGGTTGGGCCAATATATAAAAATTGCAAACAACAAAATGTTATTAATTTTTCTCCTTTAACCTAATGTATACCATCAGATCCCAATATTATGTTACAATTATGAAAAGAATGAAACATATTATTTCTAATATTATAAGAAAATATTAAATTTATTTTACTAGAAGGCGAAATATGTAGGCATTAGATCGCTTTTTTAAACAATACTTTATAATTCATAGTACTTAAAATTTATCTATATATGAAAAATATGTCTTAACATAAGGGTTGCCAGATTTAATATTTGTAAATTAAACTTTTTCAATTTCTTATCATCTTTTAGCAAAGAACACTTATTATGTTGCTTTACACATTTATTGTCTAAGGTCATCAATTTTATGATGTACAAATGTTGATTGTTATAGTGAGAAAATTGATTGTGAATGTTATAGTGTGAAAAACACCAATTGTCCTATTTAACACTTAAAATAAGAATAACTGTTTTAGTATAACATAATTAGCTTGGCAACACGTTTATCAGTGGGTTGAATGAAATTAAGCAGTATGACTCTGATTGGTATTTGACCCAGGAAGATTATCAGGGTTTGCAAGTGGGTCAAGTTCCGCAAATAGCTTGAACCAAGCTGCCTTATCATCTTTTTTAGGAGGGACTGTACAACTTGAACTAAGTTGTGTAGATTTTGAAGCACTCATACTATTAGAGCTAATTGGTGCAAGTGGTCCATCCATAAAGTTTGTAGAGTTGAATTCCTGAAATGATGTTAGTATAAAAAAGTAAGATGTAGCCACAGTGTCAAATTTATTTAAATGTAGTCTTCATTCAGTGTATGAAAATGTTGAAAAAGCCAAAAACAAATAAATACCTGTAACAGCTGAGAAGGCATGAAAGATCCAAAATTGGCTGGTAAGTCATCACAATCCAGGCGAATGCCAGCCAAGTCAGATGTGATGTTCTGAATTTCAGAACATCCTGGGTGCTGCTCGAAAATGCTTGTATTAATAAGTTCCTCTGATGTGGGTGGCTCTCCTTTAGCTTCAATGGATGTTGTATCATTTCCTGTTTTATTCTTTGTATTATCTTTTTCAACATCTGGTACTTCATCCTTATAATCATCCTGCAAAGTAAGTTTAAATTTTTAAGAAGATAGTACACATATTTCACTAATGAGTTTTCTGTATTTCATATATCCATTACATAAATTAATTTTATGTACAATAAAAAAATATCTCTATTAACTATGATATTCTGAAATTTCCAGGGTTACTTTTAATATACATATAATGACTTAATTACATTTTATCTATTCATATCTCATTAACTTCCGTTAGACTGAGTTACATTGAACTATGGTATACTGGAACTCATAAATCATATTTCTTAGTATGACAATATGCAACAAATGCTTATATTTGTAATGTATGTTAAATGTTTTATGTTATTTTTAATAAATATATTGACAGGTGCTGTTTGTTTAATAAAAGTTATTGCAAACAATTTTTATTTCTTACCTGAAAAAATAACATTTGGTCTTTATCTTTAGAAATTTCTTGGTTTACATCTTCCCCTTCTTGCAAACTCTTCAAAATACAAAATTCATACTGTGGGGCAGTACTCATAGTGTCTATAGTAGCAAGAAAAGTCTGAGCTGCTTTTGTAGAGAAGTTTGAAAATGAATTCTGATAGGTTGACAAGACATGAGAAAACATATTACATCTTGCTGCAGCAAGTAAGTCAATCTGTAATATTACAAATATTGTTAATCCAGGTTTCAAAAAATTTTGTAGAGAAGGAAGGTACAGTAAGTTGAATATATTTAAGAAAATTGAAGCCATAAAAGCTCTGATGGGTACTAACAAAATATTTCTTGATCAGTCAGTAAGTTAGCAGCTTAGAATAGTGACTTGAGAGATAGTAGATATAAAATAATGTTTTAATTTTAAATTCTTATGAAAATGTCCATATCACTCTTCTTTTCAAATTTATAAACATTGATGGTGGATACCCACCGGATTTTGTTTATAATTCTGTTAAACAGCTATTAGAAGGATCAGTTATTTGCCTACAAAGAACGAAAAGTTTATGAGCTGGAAATTATAGTACTACCAGAAATATGGCAGTAAGTATTGGACCAGAGTGGACAATATATAAATTAATAAAACATTTACATGCTATAAGAAAATTGACTTTTATTTCACCAAAAATAAAAACGAATTTACCTTCCCTACAATCCAATTTATATTAATTACCAATAATTTATCAAGTAAACGAGAGCCGTGATAGCTCAGTGTCCAGGCGGCTCACCTTTAATTCAATGTACTCGAGCAACCTGAGTTTTATCCCCGGTGCCGGCACCAATGAAGATTTTAACTTTAAATGACTCTTTTATCACTTGCTCCGCGGTGAAGGAAAACATACACTGTATATTTTCGAAATAAAAACAAAAAAATATATATTTCGAAGATATGTGAAGTCCGCCAATCAGCAGCAGGGCTGCGTGGTGGACTATGCCCTGATACCTTCTGTATAGAGGAGGCCTTTGCCCATCAGTGGGGCATGTAGGCTGATACTTTACTTTACATTTTTGCTACCTAGTGCAGGGTTCACTATGCAAATGTGAATATGATTTGTAAACGTACCTACTGTAAATGATTTAATACTGTAAATGATGTTTTTGTTCTCTATTATTTGTTTAAATAAATCTTGAACGGCCTGAGACTTGGTGAAAATGTTGCTTATATGAATTGTTGTAAGTAGTGACAAAGCAATCACTTTGTTATAATATGTTTCAATTTGAAGACAACTAGGTGGTGTCATTGCAAATCTATTGGCCTTGGCGTTGGTGGTTGTGGGTTTGATTTCCACATGGGACAATTATCTTGTCCCTTCACTCAGATGACACTCAGAACAATCATCTGTGGGTCACACAAATGTGTCCCAAGCCGGCATCTGGTCCAAAAATCCATAGCCAAAATTACTTTCAACATAATTCACATTTTTTGCCAACCCCACCTAGGAGTGATAAGGGTAGGGGAATCAATATATTTTTACAATAATTGCAAAAACATTAATAGCTCAAAATTGATACCTACTTAATGTTTACTGTTCTTTAAATGTCAATGTTAATCAAAATCAATGTTTTTACACATATCTCTAAATAAATTAGATCAATTACAAAAAATACGAACATAAATAAATAATATATTAAAATCATTGCTTTTCAAATTTAAAACAATAAATAGAAAATTTAATCATAAGGGTAACATATTGTTGATGATGATATCTAATTTATAAAATTCTCGTGGCATGGTGTTTGTAATTGAACTCCTCCGAAGTCGCTTGACCGATTTTCGTGAAATTTTGTGTGCATATAGGACAGGGTGGAGAATCGGACATCTATTTTGCATCCCCCTAAATGTTAAGGGTGGTCCACCCTAAACAGTTTTTTCTACCCTACAAATTCCCTAGAAATAATTTATATGGCAGAACAACATTTGCCAGGACAGCTAGTATATTTTATATCATAATCAAACATAATATACTTTTACTGGTAACATTGTTTAAAATTACCATTAAAATAATCATTGCGTACCAAGGCACTCAAGGATTGGAGGAATGAAGCAGTGGATGAGCTAGCGAGAGATGGAAGCTTAGCCCCTCATCAACTGTCTACTTTGTTAAGATTGTTGGTTTGGAGGAGGCTATCTAGTTCAAAGCGAAGACTATGATAGATCTTCTAGGTCATAGTGGTTGTTGCAACTAACTAATTAACCCATTCCAAACAAATCATAATCATTATAATCAACACCAATAAGTATTGAACATTCATAATCCATATCAGTATCTGAATAGTAAATGTAGACATCAATTACTTATGAATTATGATATAATTATAAAAGGTAGGAACTAATAGAGTAATATAAATTAAAAAAAAACAAGATTCCTTTTTTTATAAACATAAAAAAATAAGAATCTTATTTTTTTTGTAACAACCTTTTGTAAGACATCCAAAGTAAGTTTGTCAAATATTTTCTTGCTTTCTCGAACTTGACGTTGGGCTTTACGGAAGTTATCCAACCCTCGGCCTGTGTCAGGATCCAACTGTGCACTTGCAGATTTCATCCAACTTAATGCAGCTCGGTATTCAATACGAGCCTTCTCCATGGCAGACACTGTAGCTCGCATATCTTTAATAGCTCGACATCTAAATGTTTCTACCTCGTGATAAAGTCTCAGTAAGGGCCCTCTAACAGATAAACGTTGTTGTCCGGAATATGAAATTGCTTTACCAGCCGAAACCATGTGTTTGCCGGACGCTTCAGCGTTTTTACCCGCATCCTTTAAAAACTTTCCCAAAGAATTTTCTTCTTGTGCCAGAACACACACTCTTTCTTGATATTGATCTAATATTCGTTGTAATTGAAGACAACTGTCAGATATTGATCGAAATAATTCCAATTTTGCGTCAAGTTCGGCATCAGAAGCAACTATACACTCGTCTTCTTTAGTTCCTAGTTTTTTTAAAACAGTCTTTTTTGTTACCCAGTATTGATGTTGCATCATATTTGACAGAAATTATATAGTTTAGAAAAATAATTGTGGTAGTAATAAAAAGCTGCATCAAAAGGATTTATGAACAAGAAAGCACCAAGCAGTAAGTTTTTTGCTTTAATCAGCTTTTGACATATGTCACTTTTTTTTATGGCCCGGCATCGAAGACCTTTAGGCCATTTTTGACAGTTAAAGTAAAACAGTCTCTCTTCTTAGTCGTTCTCTCACTGCTGAGGATCGTGACTATTATTTAATTGGTCAACGAGCTGTCTCCATCGGTTTCGCTCCATCGGCTGGTAGAGTGCGGCGCTTATGGGGATTTCCAGGTTTTTTGAAATTTAATCCGCTCACCGTTTAGGAGTACGGCCTCTAGGTCTTTTATCCTCTATTTTTCCTGTCACTATCAAACGCTCAAGGTTATCTGCTCCTCTTCGTACATTATGGCCAAAGTATAGCACTATGCGTTGTAACCAGATTGTGTGCAGACTCTGAGCATTTTCTATTCTAAGTTACTTTAAGATGGAGATGTTTGTCTGACAGGCCACCCATGATATTCTTAGCATACGGCGCCAACACCACTTTTATTTTTTGTATGTCTGCGGCCTTGAAAGTCCACATATAGATAAACAAATGTATTATAAAAAGTATTAGAAAGTTATGCCTGGCGCACGGGGCGCCTAGCCTGAGCCTCGGCGTATTATTTTATTATTACACGTTATGGTGATAAAGCTCGAGAGCTCCCGAGGAAGCCTCGACTTCGACCGTCACGCTATTATTGTTATTAGCTTTTAGGCGGACGCTCCATGGAGTTACTAGGCTCAAGGGTCCCCGAGAGGGGATCTCGGCTTGGGCAAACACTCAATACGCGTTTAGAATTCCGATTCCTGGGTATCCGCGAGGGCCGGACCCCGGCTCGATCGGTAGCTGTTATCTGACTGGGGGAATTTCTAGATCTAACGTTACTACCTTTTCGGAAAGCGTTGGCGCTGGGACAAGCGGAAGAAACACCTATAATTATTTGGGGAGAACCTGCCAGGCACGTGGCGGAACCTAATATATGTTTGCCGCACTCGCCGGCGAGTGCGGTGTTTATTGGTGTGCTTGCGTAGTTTTTTAATCCTGTCAATGGCGATAGTCGTTTCATCGTCAGGGTAATCAAGGACGTGTTGCGATCTACGCCAGCTGCGGCGGAACGCACCTAGCGGTAGGGACTTGAAAGTGGCCGCATTTACGATTATCGGATTGGGAGTAGCACGGTTGTGATTAATATATAAATTAATTTTGTTAAATAACCAAAGATCTTTATTTGTTTGTTTATGTTTACCCGGTGGCTTTGGTAGATTCATTAGAAGAGGTCAGCCAGCATTCTCAGGAGTCCAACGTGGATGGTATAGGACGAAGTCACAATGACGACTTCAACTCTGCTGCACGGTTGCTCCATGACCCTTGTTAAAGAAAAACACACAATGATTGAAAAGAAGTGAAGGGGTTACGACACGATTTAAGGACCCTCAAAATGAGGTTTGAGCCTCAGCTTGAACCATCCCCTATAGTGTAGTCTGTTCAGAGGTAAAAGTGAGCTATCAAATAAAATAATATAAAAATAATATAACGTAAATGATTCAAAAGCTGCCTGACACACGAGGATATCTTGCATAAGCTGTGAGTCGTGTTTTTGCGTTTGCCAGCGAACGCACGGTGCCAGGTGTATGTTTGCAAATGAATGATTGCGGTGTACGCCACGGTTAATTCGGTGGCACAGTTTATTAAGTTACTACAATTTTTTTTATGAATAAAATTAACAGTTAAGAAGTCATATTTTCATTTTGAAAATTTGATTCCCTAGAATGAAATACAGACAACTATGTAAGTTCATACTTCAAAAATAAAAGTGAGAGGAGAGGTTAAAATCAGATCAGAACTCTATTTTCTTTTCTATTATCTATGACGCCATATTTACAATCGGAATGTAGAATGGCCGCCGCGTATCGTATTTCGAGCAAATGTATCCCGTTTGCTAATATTTCTTTGACTAAATAACATGCAATATTTAACTAGATGAATAACAATACATAGAGCAATTTGAAAAACTTTTTATCATGTACTGTGCTAGTGAAAAAACTATACCCGGAGTATCATCCTCTCAGTCTTCGAAGAATGTCAAAGATGGTAAGTTTGTGGTTGTCAGTTGGTATTTTAACTTTGGTTATGTTATTTTTGATTAGTATGATAAAAAAATGTTCAAATATACTATGTTACAAATCGGAGCTATGCTTATGTGTGATTACACTTTCTTTTATAGAAGTTAAAAAAAGACTTAAAAAGTTTACTTATCACAAAGTCTTACCGAGAGAGTATTTTTTATTAAGTATTTTGTTGTTTGCTAGTGCAGCATTTTTTATTTCATCTACTAAGCGGATGTTTAAGTAGAAAGAAAAATTTCTATTACTTGTTTCATAGTATAATTGAATATTTTCGTGAAGGAATCATTACTTGATTTTTAGAACTATTACGCCGGTTATTGCATTGGAACTCATTTGGTGATTGACATACTCTTATTAATCGAACATTTATTTAATAATTACATTTTATAAAATCTCCAACTATTTTACCTTATTTCTTTCCTTAAATGTTTTTTTCTAACCTATTTTGATGAATCATCAATATAATAATATGATGTATTTTACTTAAAAATAAATTGCAATAAGTTTCATTTCTCTATGTAAAAATAGGCAGTGCCTTTTGAAATTAGCCACTCTATTATTACTTTGATAATTAAATTTTAAGGGAGAAACCCTGAAATACCTGAAAATAGTAAACATATCTAAGAGTATAGTAAATAAGATGGTATCTTTAAAGCCATCTTGTTTCACACAAGATACCATAGTTTATTTCATGTTTAGATTGTTGAAAGTTGATTAATATTTAAATTATAGATAGCTGTTTCAATGTAAATACTTTCATGTTTAAAATACAATTAATAACAATCATTCTTGACTTAAATTGCTTTATATTGAATAAGTACCTATTATTAAATTTGACTTTATTTATTATTAAACACAAAATAGCGCCACTTACTTCAGCTGCCTCAGATTAAGTTGTATTTTGTACAAATTTATATCTTAAATATTTAAGCTATTTTTGTTTTCAACTTTTTGGTTGATGCAAAAAAGGTTCAACTATGTATTACTTAATGATAAAAAAATTGGGCCCTATTTATCTCTCTCACCAGACAGAAACACAAAGTACTATATAGTACTTGCACTTCAAGTATCTTGTGAGGCTGTAGCCTGTACACTGGTGCAATGAATGACGTTGACATTCTACATGTTTGTCTTTCTGATTCCCTGTCCATATGTCACCACCGATTTTCTGAGCAATGGGTGAACCTATCAAGTTGAAATTTCTACCAGATACTGAAGTCTATAGTTCCTATTAGGTGTATAAAAAATAAAGGTCCTGAGTTAACACCATAAAGAGATATGGGCAAATTTATATTTTCGCGAAAACTTGTATGTACAAAAAGTTGAAAATTAAGGGTTGTCCCCATACATAGTTGACGCCAATTAAGATAGTCGTCTGAGTTATATCGAAGTTCATAAAAAAAGTGTGTGTTTACTTATGTACACGTAACAAGATAAAAATCTTTTCAAAAATTTTTACTTTCGCCTTATTCTACGTTTGTAGAAAAAACGACACCAACAATAGAAAAAAGGTATTTAATTTTGAAATTGAAAGTTTTATTGTAACGTTGTCAGTTCTTACGCAAACATATCGTACTGTTGGCGCTGGCAACACTGTTTACCGGATATGACGTTATCTACTTGAGCCAAGGGACACATGGTCGCATGGAGGAGTGGTCACTTGGATTTCGGCCGCGTTCCCGGCCGGTTATATAACCACTAAGGCTGCTTGTCGTTATAATAGTTGTTAATATTCACATTCAGTAATAGTTAAAATATTAGGATCAAGGTAAAAACGTTAGAACTCTTATAGTACGTAGACTAGCTAACTAACTTCTAACTAGCTAACTTCAGTGTCGGTTTTTCGTGACGGTGTGCGCGCGCATCGTAAAAATTTACTCTCATTATTTTTTCCTCACGCGCCAAAAGAAGTATAACTTCAAAAATACAATTTCTTACTAGATAAACCTAGATAAACTAGGAAAACCTCGTGCGCGAATCAGACTCGCACATGGCTATTTTTTTGATTTTTTTTTAGATAAAAATTGGTAATTGTATTCATTAGCCCAACCTTTATTATATCATCACATAATTTTCTTCATTACTACCTTTATATCTAATATATAAAATTCTCGTGTCACGGTGTTTGTAATTGAACTCCTCCGAAACGGCTCCACCGATTTTCGTGAAATTTTGTGTGCATATCGGCCAGGGTGGAGAATCGGACAACATCTATTTTTCATCCCCCTAAATGTTAAGGGTGGTCCACCCCAAATATTTTTTTCTACCCTACAAATAATTTATATGGCAAAACAATGTTTGCCGGGTCAGCTAGTAATATTATAAATATGTTTATCGCTCATTATGCTGCAACAGATTCATATGATCGAATAACATAAACATTATGTCAAAATGAATACAAAGTTTGAATTAAAATTTAGTATAAACTAT